TATATATATATATGAATCTAACCTGGGGTGTAGTCAGGTTATTTGTGCTTCTTTATGTCTGAATGGGTGGGTGGGGGGTGGCAACCGATGGACACGAGCACCTCTTTGCGTCAAAGCGCGCCTCTTTCTGTTTCTCAGCCTCCATCCCAGCCGCTGGAGCCGATCTGCGGTTCGCACAAAACCCCCCAAAACGTTCGCCTCCATCCCCATCATCAATCAGGCTCCTGACACACTGAGCCTCTCACCGATAGGGATCTGCGGCGGGAGGGTCCACCTGACGGGGAGAACAATGCCTCCGCGCGCGCACAGCCGCTCATTACGAGCCACAAATAAGCTCATGATGGTGCAACAAGGCGAAAGGCAAATTGGCATTAAGGCACGCTCCGTAAAACCCCCAGACCCGAGCACCTTTTTTTCCCCATCCATCAACCCGCCCAGGCGCTTATTCTCCTCATTAACGCAGCCAGCGTCAAAAGAAGCAGCGGGGAGATTATTAGATTTACCAGCCACAGAGAATGAACTCTCACTGCTGATTAAAACAAACTCAAATGAGCGGCAGAACAAATCATAATAATAAAAAAGGGTCTCTATTGTGTCAGAAGCAAGTAGGTTAAACCGCTCAGGCTGGCGCAAATGTCTGCCATGGAAACAAAACATGCAGAAAAAAAAAACGTGCAAATGTCTGCGGGTGTTTGAGCGTACCTTTGCTCTCCTGTCCCTCATCCTGGGTTTCCTCTGCGTTGGACTCCATGGCCGGCTTTGTCCCATCCATGATTTTAGTGGAATATAGCCTCCTGGTGCTTGGTCTTGTCCCTTAGAGCGTGCGGACGGTGGAGCCTGTCCTGGTGACTTGATGCTGCCTCTCTCTCTCTCTCTCTCTCATACACACTCCCCTCCCTCCCTCAGCTCTGTCTCCCCTCCCTGTTGGAGCTTAGCACCGTCTCTGTATATTAACAATCCCAATGCAAAAGGCGATGACAGACAGGATTTATTTCAGCGCATGCAGATTATTACCCCCCATGATGATTGCAGATAATACTTCTATTGCCCCTCTAAAGGCAGTGATGAAAATTACGATTCATATCTTTTCCGCTCACCTCTTTTCATCAGACGCTTGCATTTTTTGCAACTGATTTTTCAACAATGGCAAGCTTCAATGAAGACAATATCCAAGGACAAAATGTCCAGGGTATGTAAATATGCAAACTCACGGGTAACCGAGCATGCATGAATACACTCTCATACAACCACACACACACACAGGCTCACCGCCCCCTCTCCAGCTGGTGAGCTCACTGAGAAACTGAGAGTCGGAAAAGGAAGGAAGGAAGGAAAATGAGGCAATCCATTGTGCAGTAAGAGTGCAAAAAAACTGAGCGTTGTTTGGTCGCACCTAACTGCTCTCTGAAATTTATTTAAAGGGTCCAACATTTCTTAAAATAATACATATGATTCAAACTGATCATCTTGTGCTGAGAAGAGACAGAGTTGTTGTTGTGGTCAAACCTTGTCATTGTGCACAAGATCTCGCTAGATGTCAAAGAGCTCAGACTATATGTTGAGGATGAATCTCAGCTGCTGCCACACCAAAGTGCATCCCAGTAGCTTTCAATACATCTATTACTTCTTTTTTTTTTTMTGTGTTTCCGATGATCAATTAGCAACCGTCTCAAATGGGGGTAACACCAGTAGTTAATCAGCTGGAGATGTACATCCACTTTCTGAGAGTTTCATTAAAATAAATCCACAAGTTCATTAAAACATGTCCTGATGCATCTCAGTAATCCAGGCAGAAAAAATCAAAAAGAAAAAATAAGTAGGTCCTCTGGATGGGTTCTTCTTTAGTGAAACATTTCGTCTCTCGTCCAGACTGAAGAAGTCTCTTGGAGGAGAGACGAAACGTTTCACTAAAGAAGAACCCGTCCAGAGGACCTACTTATTTTTGATTTTTGATTCATTAAAAAAAAGTAGGTCCCCTGGACAGGTTCTTCTTTAATGAAACGTTTCGTCTCTCCAAGAAACGTTTCATTAAAGAAACCTGCATTTTTCTGGATTACTGAGATCATCAGGCCACAAGTTCATGAAATATTTTGCTGACAGATAAATGAACAAATACACGTTCAAAAACATTGCTGCCTTCAGCAGCAGTGATAGCACTTATTAAAGCCTAATGTGAAGTAACAACAAGAAAACATGCACAGAATGATGCTTTTGACATCTTGTGATGTTTATGCTTCTAATTATATTTGTTAGATCCACTCATGTTTCATTTTCTCAGCCTCCCTTTGTGGAAACATCACTTGAGTTAATTTCAGCTTTGATTAGATTACTTTTAACCAATCAGAGCTCCTTAAGTGATGCACTTAAGAGAGGGTTTCCTTTGTTGGACCAATAAAATCCAATAAAAACCCCAACTAAAGTGAGTAAACGAATTCTTAAAGTGGGCAAAAAAGGGGGTGTGGCTTTTCATTCAGCAAAAACAACAATAGAGAGCTGGGGAAGGTGGGGGGAGCGGGGTTCATCACTCACCCCTTTTTTTTCTAATAATAAACACATCCTCTAACAAAGGCACGCCATCTGTCCAGAATCCTCTTAAACAAGGTTTTAATGCGAGGGCCCACGTGGTCCTGTTTCAGACAAAGCTCAGCCCACTGAGTCCACCCCCCCACCCACACACACACCACACCAAACAATGTGACGGCACCAGCCTGTGATGTTTTCACCTAGAACATCAGTCACACGAGGAGCTAACTTGATGTATATGATGACATTTAGTGGATTCATTTACCCCGAGGGCAGAAATGAACCCCTGCTCCCCCACCATATGCTGGTGAATCAAAGAGAATCCTCCATCAGGTTTCCTCTTTCACATACAACATCCAGAGCCACAAAGAAATCTGATCTGCTACGTAAATTAACAGCTTTCTGCACGAATCAGCAATCAATTTTGCTTTTAAATAAAAACATGAAAACTCTTTGGAAACCCAATACACAAGCAAGCATTTTATTTTTGCTTAATGCTTGCTGGCAGGAGGTAAATGTGAAAGTGAAGAGACTTTCAGATTTTGTAAACATATTTAGAGTGATAAACTGGCAGCATTACATCTTAGTGGATAGCACTGATGCCTCACAGKAAGAAGGTCCTGGGTTCGAGCCCTGCTTCAGGCCTGGGGTCTTTCTGTGCAGAGTTTGCTTGTTCTGTTTGTGCTTGCGTGGGTTTTTTTTTCTCCAGGTACTCCAATTTCCTCCCACAGACCAAAAACATAAATGTTAGGTTGCCTTCAGGCCCTTGCAAGGTCCTTTGAATAAAAGATTTGTGATCTCATTGGGATTTGCCTGGTTAAATAAAGATGAATAAATTGAAGGAAATTTGTGATCAATAACTGAAAATCTAAATAATCAAGCAGAAATCAGTTGGCTTTATTCCCATTCTGACTCCTCAGACCTCAGCATAAGACCCTCATCAGTAGCAAAASAACTCAGACTGTTCCAGGCTGAATCTAAGACCAAGACTCTGCAGAACTTCTACACGTCTATCATAGTGATTCAGCCCAATAACGTATGTCTCTTCCTGGTTACACACCTGGAGGTGTTAACCTGTTTGGCAGCACGACGGCTCAGTGGTTAGCCTCACGCCTCACAGCAAGAAGGTCCTGGGTTTGATKCCCGGTTCAAATRTGGGGTCTTTCTGTGCAGAGTTTGCATGTTCTTCTCTTGCTMGTGTGGGTTTTCTCTGGGTACTCCGGTTTCCCCCACAACACAAAAACATGTACAYTAGGTGGCCTTCAGGCCCAGGCCTCCCTTGAAATAGAGCTCAGTGATGACAATGGGATTTGTCTGGATAAATAATGGTAAATCACTTTTACGTCAGGTGTTAGCGTAACCAACTTTTGTTTATGCTACAGAAAGAACACAGCAATAACACACACACACACACACACACACACACACACACACACACACA